GTTTGAACCTTTATTTTTATTTTACTTTTCTCATGTCCAGATTATAAAAGGCAGATCCCAATTCTTCGGGTACTACAATTTAATTTACCTCCAAAGAAGCATTTTTTTTCTGCTTTTTGCTGTATAGTTGCTCACAGCTGAAATTGTTCAGTCATAATGAAAACACACTGCATTCCAAATGCTTGCACAAGTATGTATTTGGGGAATAGTTTCATTTTATTTAAAGTTATCTGCAAGGAAAAATATTGGTAAAATATACAATTCTTAAGAGAGTTTTCAGAAAAAGTTAAGCAGACTTAAAAAAGATATATTCCAGTGACTATTCTATTGAGCTCTAACTTGAGTAACTCTAGTGTAATGCTGATTAATTTTGCTATCATCTCTGCTTAGGACTTTCCTCTCCCCTTTTATGGAATCTTACAAGAGTACCATGCAGTTTGATAAGAGGGCTGGATATGTTAACCCATCCTTAAATTTCTTACCATAGTCCCCAGAAAATGGACTGCAAATCAGACAAAATAACTACTTTTTCCAGACTTTGATACAGAACACGTTTCAAGCCATTCACTCATTAGAAAAGAGTATGACTTTCTTGAGTTGCATTATCAGAGCCAAATGTTTCATAAACTACAAAATTACATGTTTATTCTGTTTGGGGTACTTAATTCTTAAATTTGCTATTCTTAAATTTGCTAATTCATTCCTAACTAAGCTAGGTTATTGACTCAGAAGCAACAATTGAAAAATAATTACACTGTAGCAAAGGCACAAAATTCTTAAACCTTCCAAAAAATTACTATGAATTTCTCAATTTTCTTTTTTTCTTCATCTCCCTTAAACCCTTTTTTTCAGTACTGCAAATTCATTTACTAGCAAAATATGTCTGCTGAATTGAAGCAACCACTTATTCTTTATCAGCACCTTCACAGCTAAATTATACTGAGGGTAAGAATACTTATTAAAACACATAATATTGAACAAACTTTGGATGAAGTATTTTTCTGTAACCTTTATGTAGTTACATAACAACAAAAGATTATGTTAGTAAATGAAACATATACTTGGCTAATTAATGCATGAAATTAAAAGTACATAATTGTCTTTTCATTCCCATTTAGATCCCTTTTTAAAAAAGCACTTAAGAATATCCTGCTCTTTAATGTGCGTACTGTACTCCTTTAGGCATATGACCAACCAAATATTTATGGATGCACTTAGGCATGTGTTAAGAGGTCTGCTGAAACCAGATGTTAGTCTAGAAGAGCGTGCAAAGGAGAGCACTCATCACCCTTGGATTGAAGAATCTATTAAAAATGCTTCTGAATCAAAAAGAAGCACAGTAAAACAGAGTAAATGTTCATCCCAAATGAAAAGAAATGCAGGAAATGCTCTCAGAGGCTGACAAAACCTGCTGTTTCTATCACCAAGTCCAAAGAAGTTAATCAAAGTAAGGAGTAAATACAGAAATTCACAACACTTGCTGCACAACCCTCTTCAGAGTTTCTTGAAATCAGTGATTAAGATCTTCCTAAGTGAAGAGGACAGAAAAGACTGTCATTACACTAGCTGGTATCACAACTAATGTCTACATAATTAAAGCCTTTTTTCATATTCACTTTGTTACTTAGAAGACTGTCTGCTAAGTAAACTCATAATGTAGCATAGTCTGTTTCTTCATAGTTTTGCTTTTTTCACTACCACAACACCATAGCAACCTAAACACCAAATATTTATTTTCTTTCTCAAACACTGCAAGTTATTTTATGAAAAATTCTATGCAAACTGGGCAATACATTGACTCATTCTGTTTGTCTCTCTTACATGTATCTCTAAGGCATCCATCACCATGGTGCCTAAATGCTGTGGTACCACTGTATTTGCCAGCTTTCTTGTATCATAAGTGGTATCATCATTTTTGTCCACTTTTATATAGCCTTATTTATATGAACTCTATGGAAGTATCAGCTAGGACAACAGTCATGGATTAAATGCTTTCTGTAGTAATAAACAGAAATTGGTAGTAAAATTAATCATCTTTACTGTTTCCTCCAGTCTTCATGTACTCTCAGTCACTACAAGTAGAAGGTACTCTTTTCATCTCCAGACCAATGTGCTCCTACAAACAAGTTGTGTTACTGTGAAACCCAGGCTGTGTAAACAATCCTGCAGAGCTTCCATGCTACTACAAAAGAGATGAGGGATGAGAAAAAGTAGCAGTTGTAAAGATACACCTTCTGCTGATGGTAGAAGTTAAGATCCTTTTTTACCTCTCCTCCTGCCTTAATAGCAGTCAAATGGAGAGAACAGGAAACTGCAAATAAACCTTTTATTTGAAAAAAAATAACACGGGCAAAACATTGAGATGGTTTATTTGGCTCAGCTTAAAAAAGAATATTTTTTCTCCCAAAATATTAAATGGAAAAAGTATAACAAGAAAGAAGTGAAATGGAAAATTGCTAAAGCTGAACAACATTACACAGAAAAAAAAAAGCAGCATTTTTTCTAACAGCTCTGAGATTACATGAGAAAGAGAAAGATGTGGAGGAGGGGGAGAGAGAAGTAAGACAAGGGAACATGGAGCAGACTGAAAACAGGATAGAAATAATTGTTATGGAAAGACTAAAGAAATTAAGAGAGAGCACAAAATCAACAGAGGCACATTCAATATTTTAGTCTGTAGAATAGGTTTTCCATAAAAAAAAAAAAGTAATTTGACTTCTCATTATTAATAAAACTGGATTTTTTGTAGGTCACCTTGCCACGGGCCAGACTGCTTCCACTTTTCTTACCTACAGCATGTTTTACTCAGTAGAGTTTATCTTACTCTCTGCAATTCTACATCATAGTAAAGATATAATTCTTAGACAGTGTTTAAATTTAAAACCTTTTTTTAAACCATTGATAAGATAGGATTCTTATTGGAAGGCAAATGCCTCCAAACAAAAATGTCTCACTTTTTTGTTGTTCCCAAGGATGGCAACAAAGTTTGATAGCTGACATTTGGGGAAGCAAAAAGAGCTTGAAAAACTACATTAATAAAGCATATTTTGTCTTTCTTAATGGAAATATATATTTCTATATCAAAATATATAGGGACATTGGAAAAATAAAAAACTCTCCTCAAAATTTAATATTCAGATTTTTCATTGATCATGACACTTATCACCAATGAAATGTACTGCATTTTTAGCACATTCAAACTCATATGAAAGTGATGATTTATATATATATACAGCACCTTAGATCTTCAAAGAGTTTGTAAATAGCAACATCTTCATTCTCATCCTATTTCACTAATGCAAAATGTAAGACTTGACATCAGAAATATGTAAAACAAGAAAATTTAGATTTTTCAAAGTACAACTGATATTAGAGAGATCTAAAATTTCCACTGATATATGATAAACTTTGCCTAGATACAAACTAGGTCTCTGTGAATTTCCACTCTGTGGAGGTGGGCACAGGGATGAAACCTCTTCCTTTGCAGAAAATAAATGAACATCACCATTTCTTTTCAGTACTACAAAATTTTCTTGTTGACGGAATGTTCATAACCTCTGCCTCCCAAGGCATCAAATAGTATCATTGATCAGATATAAATGAATCAGTCAAACCTGTTCAGCTCATAACTGACCCTTTTTCTATGTTCTAGAAATGAGTGGTTGTATTTCTGTAGAGCCCATGGCTATAAATATAGTCATATAGCTAAGGCATAGCTTAAAACCCTGCCACATCATATAGGTTTATATGACTGCATATGCAATATTTCAATACATTTTTAAAATTACTTCATCTGATGTATCTTCTTGCAGCTGGCCTACTGAATTCCAAGACTGCTAACACAGCCAGTTGCAATGAGAGTTCAACCCTTTTGTACAAATGACTGATAACACTGTGACTGCTGTTAAATTCCTGGACAGATTAAATGAAGCTCACCTCCCCCTAGATCTGAAACCTCTTCAAGCTGCTTTTTTAAAACCACATAACAAGTGTTTTGTCCTTACATTACCGTTCCACTTTTTCTTCCCTGTCTTAAAGGAATTTTCATCCTTCTAGTTCTCATGGGAAATTGTGTTCAAATTCAGGAACCTGACCTTAGGTTGCATTGAATATTCCCATTGACTTCAAGCCATAAAAAAGGAAAACTGTGAAAAAGAGTTATATTCTGTCAGGAAGAATACGGCTCCAAATGCCAGAATCATCCTGACAGCTCTATTTCAGAAGTTAGCCAAGGAGAAAAAAGGGGCCAGACATCTTGAAAATTACATACACATACCTCACACATATGTATACACATACAAAGCATAAAGGAGAATAGAAAAGAGAACCTGGAAAGAAACCCTGCCAATTTATCAAGTGGCAGATGAATTATCTCCAAGACTTACATAGAAGCAGCAGCCACCCCATTTTAAGGTGAAATTTTATTTCAGTCTCAGCTGCAGCATAATCTCACATCCATCCACCCATGTTTCCCCCATTCCCCCTCCTTTCCCCTTACAGTCCCCGTTCCCTTCCCAACTCACATGATGAGTAACTTTGAGGCATTACTTCCTCTCCAGTACTACAGGTTTCATGGGCCTATCTAGGTAAAAATTACAGGAAGAAGGATTGGATTGATTAATAAAAAAAAGAAAGGTTAGTAACAAATTTATTTCAATGAGTTTTTATCCCAGTTGAAGCTTATAAATTGTGCGTACCTTTTTGATAATTTTTGGGGGTCTTCCAGAGTATTTTCAACATTCTCCCCACCAAAGAACATTCTGGTGAAAACTAGTATACTTAATGGGAAAAAATTGGAAAACTATGTGAGGTGAGGAGAATTGGATCTATGTGAGGTGTCTAGCTCTTACTATTGTTTCCACTCAATATCTATTATTTATTTTTCCTGCATGATGGCTCTGCTTCAAGCTCTCTGGAACACTACATATAACATCTTTTTTTTTTTTTTTTTTAAAAAAAAAAAAAAAAAAAAAAAAAGCATTGGAATTTTCCAGTGTTTGGTCTTCCCTAATACCAGAAACACATTTTACCTCCAAGTTTAGCAAGCAGACCCTTAGGTGCTGTTTCATTATTGGCTTAAGCTACCCTAAGTATGGAGTGTGCCAAGAGGCAGGCCCACTCACCACCTTCCTCCCCCTCTTTGCCTCAGACCGAGGTAAATACTCCTCTCATTTCATCATCAGTTCTCATGCTGCCTCAGAGTCATCCAGATCAAATATATCAAAATGACCCACCTGAGATCTGAGCCACACACTAATTTTCAGATGGTTCCTGACACAGCTGACCTTGAAGCCAGAAGTATCGTTCATTCTCCCTAGGGAGACAGCAGAATATGCATCTGGAGCGGGAAGGAAAAGAGAGCTGTGCGACCATCTTCAGCAGCAGTACAGATTTAAATTTGCTGAAGCTTACTGTAAAACCACAGCTTTGTTATGCTAGGAACAACTCCCAAATGAACCAAACTGTACAAAAGAAAAAAAGCAGACCTTGACCCTTGATTTTAGTGTTCAAGGAAGACAGGAAAATACAGAGATTCTCCTGAATCAGAAATGCCAGATGGCACAGAGGCACAATTGAGTATGTTTCCAAAGCAGAACTAGTAATAACACCCTACACCTGGATGCTATGTCTGCACTAACTCCTGACTTACAAGCAGTGCTAGTAATTATGGGGGCATATCCCTTAAGCTGTGTGTGAAAACATGTGTACCCCAACAAATTTCTTTCCAACAGGTTAAGGCTGTCTGGCCTTTTTGGGTGTGGAGAGCACTTTGAGAAGCTGCTGGAAAACGCACAATAATACGCATGGGCTGTAGACCGAGTTTTCAGGAGATCCTAGCTTTTCAGAATCCCATGAGACCTAATGTATTATCACTGCTGGTTTATATCTTTTGATGCCCAGTCAGTTCAAGTTTACTGCACTCCAATGTTGAAGTTGGAATGTTAGGAAACTGCACCTATTAAAAATTTGAATAACCACCGCAGCACATTCAAATGTAAGAAATGCCATTATACCACCTATGACAGGCAAGAGGCTAGGGAAGCAAGGCAAACACAAGCCTGGTCCAGCCTGATTTTGTTGCCTGGAGCAGGAGGAAAGCAGTTAACTGTCCTTGTGTAATTCAATGTCACAAGAATACCTTAGTTTGATGCAGAACTATCCAGAGAACCTGAAATGCTGCAGAAATACTTACATTTTTAATAGCCGACAACAGCAACTCTAAGTATTCCATTTATATTTCTGCTATGGTACTTCAGAAGATCTTATCCTAGAACACTTGTGTCTGGTGACTAATTACATAAGAATTGTTCATTTTTGTCCTTACTACCCCAGGAGTATGTTCACAAAGTTAGTCCTTTATCTGTGACGCACTTCTGAAAGAGAAAAACAAAAAGGCAGAGAAGCCTGGGGATTTGATTTGTTTCTTCCAAGACATTTAATTGCTATTACAGCCAGAAATATGTAATACACTATAATATAATTTTCTTTTTGAGGGAAAAACTTGAGTTAAATAGTAGCACAAATTCCATGTGATAGCAAAGTAATCTCAGGAGTTTTAAAAAACAGAACATGGAAAGCTAGACTTTCACTGGTTATTTGTGGTTCACTTTATAAATTTTGGGCACAGAATCAAACTTTAACATTCTACATAGAAAGCCAGAATCTTTCTGAAAGATCTTTTACAAATCAGCAAGACTGGAAACAATTTGATAGAAGACTTACTGTGCATGCTCTTTCAGCCATTTCACTAGAAACTCATTTTAGCTTTCTCTGAGGTAGAGATAAACCACAGCTAAGAGATAGTTATTAAATCTTCTTTATACATTCTGTATGAAATGTATTAAACTACAAAAATACTATATTCAAATAAGGTTAAGGGTCTGACTTAAACCCACAAAGACATGGAAATTCAGAAATATTGTGTCTTCCTACCCTTTACTCTCTTCAGTGTGGCTAGGCATTGTAGCAATAAATGACTTCTGCCCAGATTCCTTAAACCTCTTCTTTATGGCACATTTCTCCTTAAAGGTACTTTGTATTTTAAGGTTATTTCATTTTGTATTCTCTTTGTGGGTTGAATTCTGCCCTGGACAAACTGGGGTTTTTTTGTTGTTTTTTGGGGGGTTTTTTCCTCTGATTTTTTTTTTTTTTTAATAATTTCATTTTTTTTAATGATTATAGCAACACAAAGTGACAAAAATGAAGCAAAAGTATGTATGTATTAGTCTTGGCAATCAGATATTCTTACTTTTATTTTTTAACACATACCTTACAAATCATGCTCATGAGAGACAGGCAGGCAGATGTAGGACATGCATGACTCTCAGCAAGTGCAAGCACATGCTTCAGCTCTCTCCCTGCCCCCATGCAGTTCCACTTATACATATGTAAATACCTATTACATATTTCTCTAGTGAACTAAATAGGAATCTTGCAGTTGACACTGCATGAATTTGTGCCACAAAATGCCTTGGGGCCTTATTCCACGATGGACTTTTTCCCCTTTTCCTAAACACAGCAACGACCAGTGGAGGTCACACTTTATTCAAAAGAAAGTAAGATGCTTGAAGATCCTCCTTCCAGGGGGCTGTCAGCCTTGAAACCACCTCTTACACTGTGGTGCAGCACTTTGGGCCCGCTGACCTCTTGGGCAAATTGCAAATTGTGTCTTCCCAAGATAACTTCACAGCAGGGAAATTCCACTGCAAGGAGGGGAAGGAGTATCTTAGGAGGATAGTGGGGGCTTTTTCCCAATATTCTACAACTGTGAACAAGTCTGAGTTTCTTTTCATTCTCTTCTATTTCAAATTATTCTTTGTTTTTACTTAATTATTGTCAGTGTATTATTCAGTCAGGCAACTGTCTGCACACAACTATAATAAATGCATACACATTCAACAAATTGTTAGAAACTTGATCATTTCAAATGTGAGCCAGGGAGTCCCCCTCCACATCTTTCATAGCATCTGACAAATATGTATATTTAACTCTGTTACACTTACACATGCTACTGAAGAGCCCATTTTTAAAGACAAACAGCCAACACAGACTATCCACTCCCTTCAACTGGTACTCCTGCCAGCTGCTAAAAAAATAGGACAATGGCCATTCCAGTAAGAAAACAGTGTTGATTACACTCTGGTAGCCAGAGTAAAGGGAGATGATTTGGAGGATGTTCACAAACATTAATCTTTGCAGTCTGACTGTGATAAAAGTAAACCATTCAAAATCCTCAAACAAATAATCCTCAACAAAATAGTGCAAGACTATAAAATAATACCAGTGATGTAGATTTATCTTAAGATACCACAGAACATGACACAGGGGATTGAGAGAAATTCCTTAAACAGATAATACTTGACAATAGTAGACAATCTCTGTTAAAGAGTAAGAGAAACAGAAAGCAGTAGCCTTGACCCAGAAAAGGTATTTCTGCCTTATACAGCATAAAAGACAGACATTCAAGAAAAGCTCATCCATGAGAAATTGTGATCTTCTATTGCTGCCAAGGTCAGTCAGACCTGTTGTGATATGTTCTGTAAATGCTGACTCTATCACTTACAGTTTTCCAAGGACTTCCTTAACACCCAGAGCTTTTTTATTTTTATTGTGGAACAAAGCTGAACACAAAACTGTCAAACTAGAAAACCCAGAAAAGGAAGACTGAGAGTTTTGATTAGACTTGAGAGTGACAGCTCTGTTGATAAAAAAAAAAAACCCATAATAGTTATAAGGAAGGGGATCTAAAGTTCCTAGAGATCCACCAGAAAAATGCTAAAATCTCAGCAAGGAAGGAAATTTTGCTCTCAAGTCAGCAGTCGCAACAGTTTATCATGCCCCTTAAAAACTGACTGCAAATGACATGTGGATGGAGTATCTCTATCAGCCTATCAAGTGTAAATGGGATGGGATTTATTTTCTGCAACAGGAAGCTCTAATGGAAACTCCCAACATACTGTTACTGTATCTCAGTCACAACCTTTTGCACTTGAAATGGCAACTGTGCCCCTTGTGTGGTACTTTTCTGATGGCAATCATAAATCCCGAAGAGAGAAAAATCAATTCATGCAAGTAGTTTTACTTTTTCTAGTTAAAAAAAAATGAGATAATAGATAAAGTAGCCCTAAACATTTTTTACTCTGTGAACTTTACTATACTTATGCGTACTCAGAAAGAATAGAGTTTGGACCTCTCTCTCTATTAACATCTATAATTCTGAGCTTGAAGTACTAATTAAACTATCATAAAAGAATGTACACAAACCACTTTTTTACCCCACTGCTTTGGAGTGGAAGCCTCCTGTTGAAACACTTACCTTGCCTGGCGATTTAAGAAACATCCCTCTCTTCACAGAAACCTTGTGAATATAAAGGAAAACAAAAAAAATCTGCAGCAAAAGACATCTGAAACAGAAAAGAAGAGGTTTTAAGTAAGCCTGTAAAGATCGCCTCATGTCAGGGGAGCTCATGCAGGGGCAATTCAGCTCTGTTTGGGAATTTATCAAATAGGATGAAATCATTGTTCTGAATTGAAAACTAATTAATCATCTGCTTGGTATCTGTCTTGCAGATGAGAATTCCCTGTTGAATGCTATGGATAAACTGTTGATACAGACTATAACTTCCTCTGCTTGTGACCAGTCCTCTGTTTTGTGTTTTCTTTCTCCTGACTGTTCAGTTGATATATTCATATGTACATTTGTAAAATACCTGCAAATATATATGGGTATTTTTAATGATATCAACCATTAATACAGATTTGTTCTCAAGACAGCTGTATATGATGCAGTCTTTAGAAAACATTTATACAACTTATGTGAATCCTCAATTTTTGGAGGAGAAACCAAAATGCCTTTAGACATCTTTTTAAACTGCAAGATAAATTGTTGAAAACAACTTTCCTTTAAAAAAAATCTAAGTTTCTGAAGTTCCAGTACAGGACTCTAGTACACTTCAGAAAAAACAGCATGAAACCAAAAATTCCTGATCCCTTATACTTCAGGATGTTTCATGATTGATTTAACAAGATAAGTGGAAGAGTGGAAAATTGGCAACCTTAGCAGTTGAGTATATCTTGCAATTGTTAATTAGCATACAGCACACTGTGATGAATTTTTCAGCCTTCCTGCATACCATGTGGACAGCGTAGCTCATATAAAATCCTTGATAGGATAGAAGACATAGGAAGAGAATAAAAGGAACTTCATGTTTCCCTTTGTTTCTCTGACTATGTGAAATAATCTAAAACCCAGTAAAATGTTTTCTTTTGAGACTGACCTAACTTACCTATGTCTACAAGGCCACATTTAATTTGGTAACTTGAATTGAACCAGCTGGCCGTGTCTTTGAAACATATGGGAATGGATCAAAGCTGCAAATATGCGAGGTGAATTTTACATTTTTGTGTTTCTTTCATGGTAATTTAAGTTCTTGATTCTCTGAGATATTTTGTGCTTAATACCTACTGTGGGCAATGGCAGATGAGTTGTAGGAAACTATTCTGAGATGCATAACACAGTTCAACTTCAACCCATGTGTCAATTCCTCCTCCAGTGCTAAATTGGCTGTGTATCATTTGTTTGGACTGAGAAGATATGGAAATACTCAGGTTTTCTCTCTGCTTTGTAGCAAAGGGAAGTAAGGGGCTTTCTTTAACTTTTAGAAGTGATTTGTACTTCCTTATAGAGAACAATTTCTTTTCATACACATGTGATAATTTGGGGCCCATCATTTTCACCAATTAAACAGGACAGGAGCAACGGCTAAAATAAAAAAAAATAGCTAGCTCTTTCATTACACATTTCATAGTTTGACACACTATCAGGTAGTCTTACAAACTATTTAAATACTCTGAAATATATATTACATCTATTAAGCTTTTATACCATATTGAAGATTTTTTTTCACATTGATTTATGCTCACTTATAAATGCACACACAGAATGTCAACACTTAAAATGAATCAATTTTTTAAAGAATTTGAGTTCATTCTGATGAAACAACCAGATTAAATAAATTACATTGTTTAAACTATTCTGCAATCTTAATATCATTATCATTTGCATCTTCCCAAAATCCAAGTGTCATATCCAGTTTAAGAACATGAAACAGGACATCCACACAAAAGTGACAGACCCTTCTTCCTATTATAATTTAATTAACTACTATCTAGAAATTGACGAGCATTGACCTTTGTTATGAAAGATAAACAGTCCTGTGAGTTAGTTAGTAAATCAAAAATTTCAGCAGAAGGGATTTTCTCAGCAAAATCTCGTTGCTCCTCTTTTAGTTTATCTGTACCTCCTGGCTACAAAAGTACAGCGCACAAAGCAAGAAGCAAAATGATTTTCCAAACCAAGTCTTTTTAAAAATATGCAGGAGAAAACTTTTCTTTAAAGAAGAGCCAGCCTCATGAAGAGATTTTTGTGGTGCCTAGTCTATGCATAATAAATACTAAGCCATCATCACAGTCTCACATTTCCTTCTTTCTAGGAAAATCAGGAAGTCTGCTCTTTCTAATAGATGATCAGATATCTAGTGCTCCAAGTAAATTTGGGTATATATGAAATATATGGGTATATATTGGGTATATGTATATATGTATATATATATATATATAGTCCAAATTTGCTCCAAATAAAACTGGGTATATATGTGTGAGATTTAAACAAGAAAATGTTGGACTATTCTTTTTAAAACTATAAATAAATAAATAAATAAATAAAATAAAGATACTTTATTTCTCTTCACTGAGTAATGTCTGCTAATGGCCCCCCAACATGCTAGACAGACCAGCTGGGTCAGACAGTAGGGTACACAAGAAAATAGCCTGTCATATCAGACACAGTTACTTGCTCCATTTAATTCTGTTCATCTGACCACTTCAAAGACTGTGCATTCTCAAATAAGTCCGTGCCACTGACTGGACTGGTTCAGACCGAGGGTCTGTCCTACCAGTACTCTGCTTCCAATGATGGCTCTAGCTGTGACAGCCTGAACTGAGGGCAAACGTATACAATACTTCTCACCATTCCCTACCCCTATGTCTCTACCTCCAGCTATTTTCAGCCCAGAGGAGTTACTGGTCCATTTACGGTTTGTCTATCTAATGACCTCCTTAGGTCTCCAGTCTGCTGTGAAAACCTCTTGTGTCCCAGTGCTGTTTGGCACAGAATGCCATACGAGTTCTCCACTGCATGGAGAGTATTTACACTGCATGGTTCTAACTCCAGCAGACAGCATTTAAAAGAATAACTTTTTTAGTATTGGCAAATAAAGATCATGTTCTTCAAGGCATTTGTTCCTATTTATATGAGAAAGGCAATAACACTCTTCTCATATGCTGGTATTGCAACCTTTTTCAAGACTGTTTTAGAGACATTCACTTGAATGTTGAATGGCTTTAAAAACTCAGTGCCCTTCTGAACAAATGTTCCTTCCTTTTAAGCTTCTAAAAACTGATTCATTCTTTTAAATCTGTTTAAACTTTTTTTTTCTGGAAAATGCACTTCCATGAACTAAAGTGGCCAAGTCTGATATACCATTGATTTATCCTGCAAAAGGGCTTGCTTTCTCTATCCATATAGGCATAACCTACAATATTATTAACAATTACAGTTCTGGTCTCCACAAATGCATTCTTCTGAAAACCCTAGGGAAAATGTACCCTACCAAAAAAAAAAAAAAAAAAAGTGCTTAACAGATTAATATATATATATATCTTTAATTTTTACAAACTGTACAGACAACTGCCACAAATCTCAGGTGTTTTACCATCTTGATGATTAAATCATCTCTGTATGTAGCAGCAAAAATTTTATAACTCTCAGGGCTTGCATCATTAAGTACTGAAAATAACTTGAAGTGCTGTGCAAAGCAAACGGTACAGTTGTAAACTCCTACAGACTCTGAGGAACCTGAAGCCCCTCTTAAGGCACTAGTCAGTAATATTTCACATAAATAAAAAGCTAATTCTCTCCTTTTTATTATCAGATGTTCTAGTCATTCTGCTATTGACATCGCCAGCTCTGCATTACCGTTTCTGTACCTGCATACACTTGTATGCGCCTGCACACACTGGTTGCCTACATCAACTCATCTCGAATTGCTATATCTCTACTACCTCTCCCCAAAACAGGCTGAAAACTAATCCACTGTCCATGAATAACAAGTTTCTTAACAGCAGCTTTTCACTACGGAGCTTGCAATCTGTCTCCCATTCCCTTTGTCAAATTATGGTCCACATATCAGCCATTTGCAGCAGTGATATATCTGTCAGGCGTCAAGCACATCTCTTGCAAAGCAAAGTCTTTTTTAGGATTTTTTAACTTTCAAAATGTCTAATCCCAAACATGTAAAATAATGAGTCAGATGCCAAAAAATCATGAGGATTTAGGGTTTTTTCTGTGTGTGTGGGGGGGGGAAGGGGGTTTGGTTTGTTGGACTTTTTGTTGTTTTGTTTTGCTTGGGTTTTTTGCTTTTTTTTTTTGTTGTTGTTTGGTTGTTTTTCTGGGGTTTGTTTATTTGGTTGGTTTTGGGTTTTTTGTTGGGTTTTTTGGTTTGTTTTTTTGGTTTGTTTTTTTTTTTGAATATGTTAATGTCTTTTCCTTTGCTTTCTGGAGCTTTTTCTAGGTCATGTTTTCAAGCTTTTCTCCAAGGCCAGAAGGGTTTCAAACATTATTAAAAAGAAAGCAACTGAGATCTTTTTGTAATTGCATGTTTAAGAAAAACATTTATTGCCATCAAACTTAAACTCTGTTGAACTGACAACCAAGTATCTTCAGAGATGTTTTTGATCAAATAATCCTGAAATAGGAATATTACTTCAAACCTGTTTTCTCTAGAGTTTCATTTGCATTACTTACGTATTTTTTTCCAGATAATTAAGCTTTAATGAAAGCAGGTTGTTAGACATGGAAGAAAGTCATGACTTAACACTATCTTGAAGGACTCTACAATATCAAAGTATCAGAGGTGCAGATTACCTGTCTCTGCATATATACATATGTATATCCTCACACAAACAGTGATTTCTTCACCTGAAATTTGTGATTTTCTCCCCCTCAATACTGAGTGCCCTTGAAATCTTTAGTGGTTTTTTTTTTTTTTCAGTGTTGAGGAGACAGTTTTGTGTGACAACATGCATTACAAATCTTGGATCCTAACTGGTTTGTAATGGAAATGTTCATGAGTACTGATAAATGTAACCATTCCTGTTAATCATCATCATCTCAGCTTGTTTGTGTGGCACTCAGTAATTAGTTTTTATTTAAAGAGAGAAAGGCATTCCTTTCTTTTCATAACACAATTCCTCTGTTGGGCATTATCTAAGCTCAGCATAGTGTCTTTCCTGTACTCTTTTTCTTCCATCCTTTCTGCCCTGATTAAGACTACTGGAG